AAAGTGAACAATTGATCACACCTTTGTGGCCTATCAAACCTATTTGGACGGTTGATCGGACCTTCACGACTGATTGAAACTAATATGATCAGTCGATAGAGTCGAGGCAGCTGATCCACCAAAGTGGATGGTTGATCGCACCTTCATGGCCAATCTAACCCAATTTGAACGGTTGATAAGAACACCTTATGAAAACCGAACCAATTTGATCAGTCAGTCAAGCCGGAGCGGCCAATCAAACCAAAGTGGATTGTTGAACCTAACTTGAATGATTGATTAGACCTTTATGGATGAGCAAACTAGATTGATCGGTTGATCGAACAGGGGTGACCGATCGAATCTAAGTGATCGGTTGATTCGACCTTCGTGGCTAATCAAATCTAATTGGATCGTACCTTTTTGGCCGATCAAACCAATTTTATCGGTCAATCAAGCCGAGGTGACCGATCAAACCAAAGTGGACTGTTGAGCAGACCTTTATGGCCAATCAAACCTAATTTGAACGGTTGATGGAACCAACACAATCATATGATCAAGATGACATGTGCAAAGTGTTGTGCAAGACCAACAAGCAAATGAAACCATATGTATTTGATAACTAATTAAATTCATCCTAACACCCTCACATAGGATGTATGCTTTGATTTATGGATGTGTAGCAAAGCAACCTCTGAATTTAGCGAATGACGTTAAGGTTTTCTTCAACTCTTTGAAAAAAACTCCTCTATGATTTGGAGAAGAAATGACCAATGACTTCAATCGTTTCCCAAATTTCATATGCTCCAATCTCTCCATAAAATATTGGAATATCAAAATTGTGGAAAATTTGAATTCCTACTATTTGGGTTCTTCGTGCTAAGGCTTAGAAGGAAAGCTCAACATTTTGTAGGAAATTTCAAAAAATCACTCTTAATTTAAGGAGGTTTTCTTTATCATACAACTTAGGCCCTTAAATCTCTAACATCTTGATCTAGAGGCTCCAAGAGTGAAAATGCAAGATTTTTAGAAGATTTCACCTTCATGGCATTTGAGGACATGTTCTCTTTGCTTGTTCATTGCTTCTACCTTGTTTGGATGAAGCTCTCCTCTTCTAAAGGAGATTTGTTGTGCATTTCCTTCTTCAAAGTGAGATGAAGCTCTCCTTTTCTAAGGAGGTGAAGCTTTTACTTAAGAAGCTTCTTCAAGAATTCGCTCACACTTTCCCCTAAATATTGATGAAGAAAGAAGAAGAAAATCTGGGAACAAAGGGAAGAAGATGAGGTTAAGGAGGAAAAAGTTTATTTCTTCTCTAGAGCTATCCACAAAGTTCTTGACATCAAAACCCCTAACAAATGAGCCCTCTTCCTTAATTCAAAGGATATTGGATCAAAGGGGAATAGAGAGAAATTCCTTTCCCAAAGTTCAATCTCTTTAACCCAAGCTTAGACCAAAATCCCCTGTCTATGAGGCATATGATTGGCCAACATTCATAATAAGAAGTTAAGCACTTTCGTGAGACTTTTTCCCCTCTTTGCCAGGTTTAATTTTGGCTCTTAGTGGAGTCAAGTTGATGAAAGTAGCCAAAATCAAGGCCTAGAAGCTTCGCAGTGCCTCATCGTTGTGTCTGGTGCCCAG